AAGACAACTGCTACCGACGTTGCATATATGCAACAACCGGGTCTCCTTGTCTGAAATTCGCGTCACATATTTGTGACGCTGGCAGAGATCTTATATAGGTGTGTGAAGTTTAGCCAGCCACAGAAGAGGATTATAAGTGTTGCAGTTAATTTGGACAGCCGGAATAAAATCTTCTTACCTATTAGTGGTTTAGGGCTTAGAATATCACCATCTCGTCCTCTGGAGTTAAATCGACTGCGGGAGTGGGTAGCGCGGAAAGCCAGCCCCTGCTCTAAATCAGGCATATTCTCCCGTCCTGTTGGCAGTTCGTGATAGACAAGTCGTCTTTGGTTAATGGAAGGTTAACGTTGCTACATTAAGAGTTTCTATGTAGATCTCAACATTAGGGGTCAAGTAGAGGGAGCTACTCTATCGTCAATCGAAAACCATGACAAGGTATGCCAATTTGGCGGCATGGTTTCAAAAGATAAGGTCCTGAGCCTTTATTAACAAACAAATCTATGCCTTTGCACATCCACAAGTCACATTAAACACAAAGTCTCGCATTGTTTAGCAGTTACTCATCCAATCATTCTGATTGACTAGTTAAACTGACTGGGACGAAGAAAAAAAGTGGAGACCGACTGTCAACTGGAAAGCCAAAGATAAAAAACTACAAAGCCCATACGATTGAAGAGCCCGAGCAGCTAAATAAGAAATGAAACAAATGACAAATCATCAAAACACTGATGTGTTACTCTTCATGGTTATGGCTCCATGGCATCCATTTATCCAACCAATCAAATACCAGCAGCTTAAATCTGCCCCTTTGCTTTTGAAAAAGAAAGAAAAAAAAAGACAAAGGGTTTATTTTTTCACAGGAAAGAGTGCCACGCGATTATCCACCAATTTCATGACCCTTCATTTTTAGAAAAAAAGACTTGCCTTTTAGAGTATCTAAAAAAAATTAAGCAAATAGATAGAAGACCGTTTTTTCCATCAACTGAATATCCTGATAAGAGAAAATTTGTAATTTTAAGGGTAGCAAAATACCAATGAGGTGATGAAGGACACTTCAACAGGGGCACCAGCGTCCATATACAAAGATTTTTATGCATGACGAGGAAGCTATCGATGACGGCTTCACCAAGACCTTGATAAGTAAAATTACAGTGTAAGGGGAGAAAGTTCACCTTCACAACGCCTCCCACCATCCCAACCGTCTCTTCCATCCACCACCTACTCGCACCTTTCTCCCCCTCCACATTGTTTTTCTCATCCGTCTCCTACGTCTTCGGTTCTGATTTTTGACCCGCGGGGAAGGTGGTTAGGTGGGTTGGTAGGTGACACATTAATGATTTTATTTGACTAAGTTTTGTATTTTAATTGCTACTTCAAATCCATGCCACTTCTGTCAACTTTCATCCCTATTTCACCACGAGTGACAAGTACACGCCAATTTGACAGCTTTGCCTTGGCATCATGGAAGTGCAAGGGTGATTACGCCCAGCTTTTCTTTTTCGTCTACCCCCTTTTCTTCTTTTATCCTTTCCAATCTTCCAACAGCGCACTTCTTCACACTCACTAAGTCTGCCTTTCTTGCGCTCTCCACTTTATGGCCCCGCTTTCTCCACCTTCCATTAGCAACACCTCTACAGTCCTCTCAGCCACTATCCATTAGTGTGCCAAACACTTTACATTGCCTAGAAAAGTCCTCTTTCTTAAACCCCAGTGGTTGATAAACTTCAGCTATTCATATCGTCATCTTGGTCTCGAAGATGCATTCTTCTTCTATGCCCTATTCTTCCTCCTCTTTGACTCCGTTCAGCCTGCCTGACTGGTGATTGGCTGGAGTGATGTGGTGACACACTTGTGGTTCACTACAAATCTCTCTAAAGCTCTCTTAACTAGATGACTTGGTGGCAGCTGTTCCACATTTCTGATGGGTGGATAGGGTAAGCCGTTTACAAGCGTAGAAAACGGTTAGCATTGACTTCCTTTCCAACGCGTTCACCTGGAAATTCTTCTCTACAGGTAATAGCTGATACTTCACTGTTTTCATTTGAGATCCTAGCAATCCTTCCACTTGTCGTTCCATTGTCAAACACCGACGATCGATAATGGTGTCAGAAATTTGGGAACAGCTTAGAAATTATTGAAAGGTACCCACATCTCATTGGTTGATTAAGGACCAATTAAAATAGAGCAAGATTGTGTGGTCACCAATACGCTAACAGTACTATTAATCATGTCCAATGGATCCATTTTTCAAAAATTTTGTATAAAAACCCCAAAAAACTGGTAACTGAACCCCATTTAAAAACTGCAAAACCTTCCCATCTAAAAAAGTGACATCTAAAAGTGTTTCGTAGCGGCCCAAATAAACTCTGTCCTTAGAATTTAATAATAGTTTGACTTTCATTAAATCATTTTTAATCTCTAAATCAAGAAAAACTTGTTTTTTGGCTAGGCTCTGGCAAAAAGTGAACTTAAGAAGGGGCATAAAAGCTTATTCAGGTTGAACCCACCTAATTCCCAAGGTATCAATGTGACCTCTGCACGTCGGCGATTTGATAGCATCGATAGCGATCCTTGGCATGTACTTTGGTAGGCCAGGTGTTGATCTAATCTTACTCTCCATTCACCCAGCTAGTGTAAGAGGTAGCAGTTGACCGATGACTCAAATTAGCCTTCTGGAAAGTTTTTCCTAAATAATCAAGGTGTACATTTTCAAAATTCGTGAAATTTTTCTAACAAACATAAATACATATGATAAGTTTCGTATCGAACTTTTTGTTTTGCCCGCCCTACAATTTGATTGGTGTAAGGTTGGCCAATCATTTACTAGTTTGAAATGATACATTCTACAGATTAAAAATATTGGAAAAGTGCATGTTTCTTACTAAAGACAAGACTTTGCTACATGGAATTTTGAAAAAGAACCTTACTGCTTACTAGTCTTGTTCCAGTAAAACAGAAAATCACTATTGTAATCAATTTTGGAATGCAAAAGAAGTCCACCAATGAGAGAGTAGACAAAGTAATAATTATTCATTTTTCTAAAAATATTAAGTCACTTTAAAATATTTTGCATTTGCTTTGAAATCGTTATAAAGCCAATAATGCTAGTTCCCTTAAAGGCAATAAAAAGCGTCCAAACTACAGTCACACAAACAGGCGAGAAATGGGGAGGAGGGGATAATTGCCATCGGAATAGTTAAGCCACTTCCTGACTGACTTAAAATTGGGCAATTCCCGTAATTGCAAGGGAAAAAATTTGGCCATTTCACACTAAATATTGGTAAATTGTTAACCTTAAGTTAAAGATACTCTTAGTTGGCCTTCATTTCCCCAATCATGATCGGTTCTTTGTGATGAAGTCAGGGAGGCTCCATCTTGAGAGATTGAACAATACCGCCATTCTTACTTAGACTTAGGTAGAAATGTCATGCCTAACCTCGAATTTCGCCAAGGCTATTGAACTTCTGGTGTAAAGATGGTTGGTGCTTGTATACACTAGGTCTGGAAGGACAGGAGTCCTCCAGTGCTACAGGCGTCTTATGAGGAAAGAGAGAACGAGAGCCCGACGGGCTCTTGAGGCGTCTAACTGCCTTCGGCAACGATCACAGTGCCTAAAAACAGAAATCTAAAGTCCACTGTTGAATTACCTGCTTTAATATCACCTGACAGACGAGTAGAAAGGCAATTTCTTAGCTGTTAGATTATGACAGCTACCTCACTATCGCTAAGACGGCAGATGTTTTCGGCAGGGGGAGAGAACATCGTGAAAGCCAAAGAGGCGCGTGGAACCTTCAAGGACGTGCAAGGCTCTTATGGGCTTCAATAATACCCTTAAAGAGCTTGTTGAAGCGGTTGAACCATTATATGGTGGCTCGCCTCTTGTGGCATCCAGCGTACAACGATGCTATGGAAACATCTATCCCTTGCGTCACGGTTAAGTGGAGTTTTAAGCATAAACTTTCCTCAGGAATTGACTGCCGTGCTGTGACTGTAGGACTATTAAAGCATTTTTAACTTTTGTATCATTTAAGCGTTTTGCTGTTAAACGTTTAAGACTTCCACCACTTTAATGTGCTGTGCTTGAAGCCTATTAAATTGTCCTCGTTCGCAAGGGAATTAACCATCAAGCTTTAAGTAATCGCGGAGGCTCGCTTTTACCTAAGCTCGTCGTAAAAGAAGTCCGTGACGATCGTATATTAGTTCCTTCAACTATCCATTCTTTGCACCCGTCAGGATCGTGGAACAAACGCCACTGGGTCAATTTATTTGAAGGTGCTTTAGAGAGACCCACATTGAAACACAATCATATCACCGCATCACCCCATTGAGTTACCTGTCGGACAGGCTAAATGTGGTGGGAGAGGAAAGAGGAGGTCAAAGGACAAAATACAATTTCGAGGCAGAAAGGGTGATGTGTCGGTAGGAGGCAATTTCTAGGTGACGTTGAGAAGTTGGTACAACAAAAGAAGGTGGAGGAAGCGGGACTATAAAGTGGAGAGCTCATTGAGATTGAAGACGTGAGCTGGTGGAAGAAAAGAAAGGATAAAAAAGAAGGAAAGGAAGTAGGCGAAAAAGAAGAGGTGGGCAGAATTACTCCTGCACATTCGCGATGTCAAGGCGTGTACTTGTCACTCTATGTAGAAGAGGAATGGAAGTTGACAGAAGTAGCATGGATGTAAGGATGCAACCCCTTGTCGAGTGGGCTGACAACCAGACAAGAGAGTTGAAATCCTTCTGACAAAACCATCTGCGGGAGTGAAATTTAGCCCATTGAGACATCCCTTAGCTACGTGCCTAATCGCCTTCTCTTGCATACTACCGCAAAGCGGAAGGCGGGGGCTAACGAATTGAAGGCAGTTGAGACTTGTGTGAGATTGAGAGCAAGAAGTAATTGTCTCTGATTTACTCTGTACTTTTACCTATCAAACTCCTGACGATGTTGGCATCGGTGTCTTTCGTGCCCCAAGGTTAGGCAGAGACAGTTGAAGAGATAGTGGAACAACCACAGTCTCCCCTCCTCCACTTGGTGCCAAATCTGGAAAAGGATTTCACGTCTTGAACAAAAGAAATGCAAATTTGCGCTAATCCAGTGTATTTCTCACGCAGAAAACAATGCATTTCATTAGGCCATTCCTTTGGCATATTTGGGGTTTCGCATGTGTGTGCCATCTGCATAGATCAAATGGTGTCTCCTACACCTCCAAATTAATTATTTAACTCTCCCTACAGGCTTATTAAAGGCCATTGCTGGCCTTATTTTTATTTCAATATGAAAAAGGGCTTGGAGAGTAGCGTCAACCTGTTAAAGGGCATTCCCTCCATCTCTCCTCTCTCCCTAACATCATTAGAATATCCTTTCTATTCTCACAGAGACTCTTCTCTCATCCCTCTCTTAAGACAATGAAATGTCCTCAGACACCTACGAAATATTTACCAGTAAAACAAGAGTGACAGATTTTTAGAGTCAAAAGTGTAGCCGCCCTTACAAATTTGAGTAGTATATGCTGCTCAGAACTCAAAATCCTTTTTTTGAGCAGGAAATTTTGCTCATAATGTCACTTCTTGATAGAGAGAACAACTTTTGCCTGTCTCATGCAGCTAAGGAAAGAGGACTCCCGGTTCATCTGCATTAATGTCATTTAGCGCTGCCGCCGAGCTAGTGGGGCAGATATTCCTGAGGATGTGGAATGCAGAAGCCTGTTGACATGACTCCATATCGTCCAAGTGGTGACGAGATCCTAGGGCAGGGACCACTTATTTTTCATCCCTCGACAAAAATTCATCCTTTCCTTTCTGTTCATTCAGCGATCTCATTGAAAATCGTGGCGCGGACATTCACGAAAGCGACAATCATGGCCGCCTTCCAATCCACGTGGCTGCAACCTACGGTAGGCCCTCTGTTCTATCCTACCTCATTGAAGCCTACTCGCATCGTCTACGACCCTCAGCCATTCCAAAAGTCTTCCTCGACGCAATAGCCGAGTTAAATGAATCGGATGAGGATCACGATTCCCTGATTCTGGATGTGAATACTACTGCTGGTAGAAATAATGAGGATCCCTCAAAACTGGCCAAAATTGCTGCTGCTGCCAACTACCTTGACAATCTTCAACGAACTCCTCTTCATTGTGCCAGCTCCGAAGAAGCTGTAAACGACTATCCAGAGTGTATTTCCATCCTCTTGCAATCCGGCGGCGACCCGATGCTTCGAACACTTCAAGGGAAAACCGCCCTGGATCTCGCCTACGAAGCCGGACGTGCTAAGGTCCTCATCGACATAATGCCTACAGCTATGATGGTGGAATTATTGATGCGAATTAATGATGTAGTGCCTCGAAGTGTTCGACAGAAGTACAGTGAAAATATCTCAACCAAAAGAACTCGCGAATCCCCCTCGGTGTCTATTCAACAACTAAATCGAAAAGTCAGTGTCAGTGCACCAAGAAGTTCTCTCATTCGACGACATCCTGCCGTAGGACCAACCGATGGAAAGGAGGATAATGTAAATAACGTGGCAATTTGGCGGAAAATTCTTCTCAATGATGATATAGAAATGTTGGAGTCCTGGCGGGATTCCCTCCTCTGGTGTCAAGAGGATCCAGGCTACTTGAAAAAGCGAAAAGAGATTCGTGGAAGGGCCTTAAAGAAGAGTTTTCTATTAGATAAGCCCTCACCAATGGATTTTGAGACCTCCCAGGGTTTAACAGCCTTTCAGAGGTCTGAACTCTTCTTCGACTGCTATGAGAACGGAACCGGTGTGCATTCCTACATTCAATCCAACTTTGCAATAAATATCAAAGCGCATGACTTCCTTACAGTTCTACGATCCCTGACCGGTCTGGTGGTGTTTGAACAACTCATGGTGGATGGAGTGGTCATCCTCTCACCACTTCACACATCAATTCTCTTTTTGGCCTTACTGTGTGGACGATTTCGAGTGGCTGAACTACTTCTCAGAATGCGACAATTTGATCTCATTCCAGCCAGTATTCTCGTGGTACTCATTCTTCATCGACTTTATCAAGAACCCACCTTTCCCGAACAGGTAGGTCAGCCCGTTTGGCATTGATTAGGCCGGTCAAATTTACTGACCAATCAGATTAAACTATGGGCAACTTGGGTCGCAGCAAGGTGATTGGTTGTTATTTTTACATCGCCATATAGAACTGAAGTATTTTGAAATCTTTTAAAGTAAAAAAACTTGCAATTTGTGAAATAGTTATGAAATAAAGACATAGAGAAGGGTACACTCCACAGGGAAGAAAAGCGATGTGATGTGAGACAAAAGGTGATCGTGTGGGATTGTTTCGTAATTTTGGGGTGGATGGAGAAAGAAGAGCTTAGAATATTTGATAAATGGGAGTAGAAAGTGGAGAGGAGGCTGACCACTAACTCTGGATTCATCCTATATCCATCTATCCCTGCTGCATCCTTTTATCCTTCTACTTTCCCAAGATTGCATCCTTTTCTCATTAAACGTGTTATTTGGTTCCTATAGAGTTTAGACTTGTCTAACATTTTGCCCAGAAATGATTTTTAAATATTTCATTGCTTTAGTAATGCGTCACTCAAAGGGGTGGCATCCTTCTAGGTGTGACAAACGTATTTTTTGCCGTCACAGTGTTACCCAGGGATTAACAGATTACAGTCCTCACGCTTTTAAGGAACTGCTTTTCAGCTGGAACTGATGCCTGCTTTTTATGTCTTGCAGCAGAGTGCAGGCACCACCTTTCCCTATGGATTGTTTTTTAAAGGTCAGGTAATTACAAACGCCAGGAGCGGATAAAAGTAGAACCTTGCTTTTAGAGCCAGACCTTCATAGTGAATCATTGGACACAAAATTGCCTTTTTAAATGGCGGCACAGGACAGCCCACCACCTATTGCAAATTCTACCCATCAAAATATTTTTACTTTGCGTTAGGACAAGGCAGCGGGCAGAGGGGCAGGTATCCGCCCTAACCCCCACTCCGCACCTTTGTCCTCTCTGTCCTCCTGATGATGTAACTCGAATCACTAAGCTTCCAATGTAACATTGAACGGCCTTTTCTTTATACCAGTTTGTAAACATATGTGGCCGTAAATCATCCTTGAAGCATCGGTGAAGGTGGTGCCTGATTTATGTCGACGAGTTAAAACTGAGCAGTTATGCTTTAAGGATCAGGAGATCATTTTCTCATTTTCTTATCATACAGAATCGACAGCTACTTTTAAAGTAAACAATTTGTCAACAGCACATGTAGAGACGATGAGAATTTATTCATTTACCTTGTCTGAACACCTAAGCATTTTAAGTCTACTTAATTTCTTTTTAAGTAGAATATTCAAACCAATAAGTGAAACGGCCTTTTAGACTATACCACACTTTTTAGACTTTGTTATTGTCAATAAACATTTTGTGGGTGATATTATTATCCTAGCAACCGCCATGAAAAGGTCAGCTTGTATGACCATTAGCCACAGGGCAGCATACAGACAGAAAAATCATCAGAGATTCGTTTTAGCTTAGAAATAGGTAAATTAATATATGAAACACATCCATTTTGAGGCAGGAATGTGGAGAGGAACTAACTTTAAGTTCCAGATGATTTATGATCAAGGGGCCTTATCTAAATTAATAAAATCATTTTATTAACATAAATTCAGGTACGTTGTGAACTTCAACAAATCGCCAGTCTAGTGGAAGCCATCGCTGTGGATGTTTTGACACTGGTGTCATTGAAGGACAACACTCCAGAGAAGGAGATCTGTCGAGGCATACTCAACGCACCTCTGCGGATTTGTGGCGACCTCTCTTTAATTGATCTCTGTGCTCAGGCCAAATGTACCAACCTCCTGAGTCTACCCATCTGTCAGCGTGTCCTCGATGAACGCTGGCGTGGTGTCCTAACCCACTTACCCAATTGGATTGGTTTTGTGTCCCGATTTTGTCCCCTCGTAGCGATAGCCTTCTTGGAGCGTCGTGCACGCAAGGAGAGAGCTAAAGCTCTCGCCGATTTTATTGCTGATGCGGCTAGTTATACCACTCCCAACGCCAACTCTACCAACAATACAAAACATCCTTCCATGGAAACCGATTTCTTTAGTACTTTCAATAAAGATGGTGACCCCTGGAAGTCGACAACAGTCACGGCTTCACCGCATCATAAACGTGGAACTCGTTCCAAGGATCATTCCACTTCCATTCTACCGATGATACGAGAGAAAAAGGCATCGGCACCCACTCCACTCACTGTCTATGATCGTCTTTCTCGACAATACGGATGGCAGGGTTCACCGCGATTATCCTTTGTCAAAGCCATCTACGCCTCACCAGAGGTGAAGTTCTTCTTCCATTCCATCTTCCATGTCATCTTTCTTGCCACCTTCACTGTGGTGCTTGTCAATTCCCTTCATTATAAACTTCGTGTCACCGAGTGCTGTGCCATTGCCTATGTGATTGGCTATGCGGTGGAGGAGATCCGTCAAATCATTATTGAATCTCTACGTGGACAATTTAGTAATTACTTCAAGGACAGTTGGAATACCCTTGAGATATGTGCCATTACCTTCACCTTGATTGGATTTTGGGCAAGAGTTGGGAAAATTAACCAATGGGCACCACCAGAACGCGAAGCCTACGATCCCTCCTTCTACATTGCTCGAGTGTGCTACCTCTTCGGTCTCCACCTCTTCTGTATGCGAACCCTCTTTATCACCTCCATCTCACCGATAATTGGTCCACGGTTAAAGATGATGGCCGATATGTTGAGGAAGGATCTAGTGCCCCTCATTATTGTCTTTGCCATCTTCATCTTCTCCTATGGGGTATCATTTCAGGGTCTCATGTATCCCAACTCCTACATTCAACAGACCCTTTCAAATGGAACCAAGGTGTATGGAAGGTTGCCCTTCCTTTCCACGGTGGAGAAGCTTATCTCTCGTGCCTTCTACTCCATGTTTGAAGTGAGTGTTGCACTTGAAGAGGCCGAATGCAGACCGGAGGAAGAGTGTGGAAGTCAACTTGGCAATAAATTGGTCATCCTCTTTGTTCTCATCGCCTACACTGTGATAGTCAATCTTATCCTCATCAATCTTCTCATTGCCTTGTTCAGTAACACCGTCTCACGAATTGGGATGCAATCAACAGCTCACTGGTTGGCAGATCGCTATCAAATGGTGAAGGAGTATCAAGATAAATCCATGTTCCCACCACCGCTAAATCTGCTTTCCATTATGGTGGAGATTTGCTTCTGTTCCAGTCAGATTTGTCGTTGTTGTTGTCGGCATCGTCATCAAAAGAATGGTAAGAGTGAGGCTAAGGGCATTAATAGTCGATCAGGTACTGCTGGACATCGAGGTAATATCAGTGCCTCCGAAAGTCGCAGTTCTATGGACCTCGATGACATTGAGAGTCAACACCACATTACCAGCAATACGCACATCTGTGTGGACAAGGAGTTTGAACTCTACCACAATGTTGCGAAACGCAAGTGGAATAAACAACTGCGTAATTCTCGACGAGTTCAGAAACTCACCCACAATCTTCGCAGTGCCTTATGGGGTCGTAGGACGGAGACGGAGGCGGTACTACAATTTATTTTGGTTCAGAGTTTTGCCCTAAAAGATCGACGCTATACGATTGGTACGACAAACACGGCATTACCCTCAGGCTGTACAAGTATTACCACTGCCGCTGGTACCATTGAACATCGTCTGCAAGCTCTGGAGAAACGACTGGATGATTGGCTTCCACGCTTGATTGAAGAGTTGAAGGCTCTAAAGGAGGCCCAACGTTCACCGTATAGTCCTCCAGACTTCCAAATGTCTCAAACTCTAGAACCTGGCGAGGGATCAGAAAGGATTCACGTAAACACAGATGGACTTCAGGCGCCAACGCTTTCTGAGAGCTCCGAACGAGCTTCGGGCATCTCAATGAGAGTGCATCAACCATATGACCTCTTGTACAGGCGACCCGTGTCGAAATTATAAGGTCTAACAGGAACCGGCATAAATATTTATTTGATTTTTTCACTAATTAAACCATATATCTATCTATCTATCTCGCCCCCTCTCCCCGTAGCCCTGCTTCCTCGCCGTCACTCTTTTGGTGCCCTTTATGTGACTGAACCAAATCGCCTTCCAGAATTGGTGAAAGTATTCCTAAGTGAATAAAGGGAATAAGTGCAGAGAGTTGCTTGGTTAATAATGATGGGTAATGAGTGAATAGGCAGGCAGTTAGACCTCTTTTTCGACCTTGGGATCGAGAAGGACAGGCCAATTAACTGAGTGATTCTGTGTGCGCTTTATTTATCTAGCAAAAAGATAAATGCCTCACATGGACCAAAAAAAACCTTTTCATGCCAATTACTTTAAAATAACGTCAAAGTAAGCTTAAACAGACTTGTAGCCGTATCTCTTCAACTCTGAATAGATAGGACCGGGACCATGCTACTGATGTCATATAAGTAGAAAGTAGTATTAGCGAGGACGAGGCTGAAAATTTGCTGGGCTTTTTAAGTTTCATTGACTCAGCTTCCACGACGCCAACGAGGAGCCCTACTAGTGGCATCGACACTACCGATCGCCTAGTTCTTACTCGTCTGCTAAAGCTATTTGATGCAGATCAAGAACAAGCCTAATGACAGGGTAATGAAGAAAACAAAGAATTTTGTAAACTTTCGCCAATGCCTCTACCGCACCAGCCACTCGGCAAACAATCTCACATTTACATAAACTAGTCAAGATGGCACACAAGTGGCTCACTTTTAAGACTGAAGGAACACCATGATCGTGGCGCAACACCTTTGAGTAATTCACCGGTGGAAGTTAAGTAGCTCCAAATGCAGGCTAACGAGCCCGAGCTGCCATCTATTCTGCAGTACGGCATTTAAGACCGAGATAGTAGAACCTGAGGATCATCATCTATGATGGAAGCACACCTAATCCCGTTCACTATCAGGCGGTTCTCCAATTTTTAGGTCCACAGGCCTTTAAAACACCGCCATTTGTAAGACGTAATGGAATTATCTGGTTAGATTTATTTATGCGTTGCCCAGGTAAGTAACTCTTCCCCTTCTTATCACTTGTGAACGAAATACCCGATTATCTACATCATTCTAGACAATAAAACTAGGCGGATATTTTGTAAGCCGTAACTGCTGATTAAAACAAGGCAATGGTTTTATATCTAAATCTATTTATACACAAGGGTTTCATCATTTCGGATAATTATTACTAGGAGTGCAATGTAGAAGCGAACTGAAACGCAAATAATTTTGCACAAAAGAATTTCATCAGTTACAAAAGGTTTCCTCATTTCGATATTTTGCATTTTCATGAAATCATAATTAGCTGTTAGAAGTAGAAAAGGCTTAGGGTGAATATTTTAATGTCTTGTGTTTAAAATGGGAAATGCCGCAAATCCTCCCTTGGTACTGATATTTCTTCGTCCTGAGATGGAGACAGGCGGGGATAGGTGTCGCAAGATGCAAATCCATGTTGTCCATAGGATTTAATAACTTACGTTTTTAAACTCCCACTGTCTTCTACCACCAAATCCTTATGTAACTGTGTAACTTGAAGTTTTGAGTCGCCCCCTTGCCCCAGACAACCAATGGCAGATGCAGGCATCAGTTATTCAGACCTATATAACTGTTTAACTGCATCAGATAACTACTTAATTTTCCTTTTCTTTTAATAAGTGATTGACGCACCACAAGACATGAGTTAAGTAATCAAATACGGGGTCGACGCCAGTTTAACCAAGTTGGGTATTGCAGCAATGTTAGGTCTATGGCGAGTCTCGGGTGTGGTAGAGTAGTGCAAGGCAAACAGCACATCCGCGGTAGAGCCGAGAACGTATCGGTTACAGCGGGTAAAGCCCCAGCCACGCTTAGAGGTTCGAAGTTAAGGGTGGGAAATCTCTCCCAACGATCCCAAGTGGCCTCAAGACGGAAATTGCACGATCTTCAAGCTAAGACGATGTTTGGAGAATCAATGTGAACCCACTCCTACGGACATCCTCCAGCCCCTGTCCGATTAAATGAGTCAAAGCAAGACACAACAGGACAGAACTCCTACCACCGCGAACAATGATGCAGGAGAGTTAGGGAACACATCCCCTTCCGATGGTGGACCAAGGCATGGGATTCCATAGTAATCACATGGAGTCTGCTGAAAACGATACCTCAGAAATGAAGCACCGATTAAAACAAGGGAAATCGAAGACACCCCATGTGATGAGAATCTCATGTTTAAGCAGATGGTAAGGAGTAACAATAAAGGTGGCCATGACCACATTCACGATGGAATAGGCTTCATGCCTTTAATTTGAAGCCGCTTACTTCACCATCTGGCCAAATTACCGTAGATAAGGAAATCAATCCAAATGCTCGGTCATCATGATACATATATTTACAACTTTCTCAGTTTTTTGTACGCGTCCCAAGTCAAACCACCTGTTAGAATGCCATGTCTGGATAGGAGCGATCCTGAAGCACCTTCACAATCATCACCGTGCTCATTGTTAGGTGATTTTCGCGACGGCATAATGATGGCCAGATAAGCCTCATTGTTGCCTGTAACTCCAATGGGTGCCAGGGGAACACGATCCTCCACGGGTGCTACAATGGATAGCCTTGAGTTGGACTCATAGAGGCGTCCAGGCAAACCACTACCAATCAACAAGGCGTGGCGTTCACCACGATCGCAAATGGCGTAGCCAATGCACTGCTTGTCACTACCTTGGTGCAACCGGTGGCTACCGCGTTTCCGGCGACCGCTGATCTTGCTATTGAGGAGGTTGAAGGAGCTGGATAGCTGAAAATCCACGCCGAGGATGACATGATTCTGCTCACCTTCTGTGTCACGCGACGGCGAATTCCCACAGCCACGGAAGAGGTGGTGGCCTGGAGCTAGACCCACCACACAGATGCGGTTAGAGTGCTGCATCACACAGAGATCATCGCCACCGCCTTCTCCGCAGACATCCACAAAGTAATGCGTGGTGAAGTAGCGATCCGCAAGGGAAACAGGACCAGGGTGAGGCACGGAACTGTTTGCAGTGAATGACTCCTTTTTGGATGCCTTAAGGGCATCTAGAGATGTAGATTCACTCAAGAGACGCTCGACCCACCGGTTGTCAGCGTAATCCGAGTCTTCCGCCTGTTAAAGAAGATTTAAACCCAACTTAATCAAGCAGATCATGCAAATCCAAAAAAACATTTGTGCACTCATTTAAGGAAATAAAAGGTTCGGGGAAGTCCAATGAAACTCGACGGACACACAGGACCTTAAAATCAAAGTGTTCAATAGCACCCGCAGTGAAATATCCCACGAAATGTAAGAGAGTGAAATGCATGGACCATAAGGTGAGCCTCGAATGATCTTTTAAGATAGGGACCAAAAGGCCATCACTGGCATTAAATGTCACCGTCTACCTTCGATTAACATGCTTAGCCAGATGCAACAGCAACATGCGCAAAATGTAGCCAAGGTTGTCAAAGCAAGTATGGGACAAAGGAGTACAGAGCTGTCCGACAACCACAAACCCCAAACCCGCACCATTAGCAAGCACCAAAGGCACACCTACAACCTTGAAGCATGAGAGCTAAATACTGGAAGATGCATGCGACGATAAATGCAATAAATAAACAATATTGGGTGCAAAAAATGTTTCGAAATAAATATTTTCTATGCAGGTCCCAAAGGTGGTCAGATCAGCTACAAAGCTTAACACACACAATGTCTCATCAGGCAGTAAAGTGAGCCAATGCACAAGATACAAAAAAAGACGTGTTTAAGATGGAAAGCTCATGCTATTGTTTTAAAATACATAATTGTGCTGTATAAGTAATCTAAACTAGGGCAAAAATAAAATAATATTTAGATTTACCCCTTATAGGCCTCTTAAAAAAACACGTGCTAATACTTTTAGAAATTTGCTGTCGAAAAGATTAAGAGAATTGATTTCTATGCGATGCGCACGGAGAGAGGATTGTGTCTTCGACCTCACTTTCGTTTATATGGACCAGATCCTCGTTTTCTCTCCGCTCGTTCGCCGGATCGCGTTCTCTGGTGGTTGGCGTTCGTGAAGTATGGATAATCAGCAGCAGGAAAATCAGAGGCGCAACTTCGCTATAACAAAATCAAGGCTGCAGCACATGAAGCATGATCCTTCAGTGTCTATTGATGATTTCATTTCAAAGATGCTCGTTTCTTCGAGTAACTTTGCTGGCAAATCGTCATGGAGTCCCAAATTCCCGCACAAATCCCCGCATTTAGAGGTGCCGCAAAAGTATATTCTCGTTAAATTGCCTTGTTTTTTTCGGAAATTCTATTTAAACTTTCTTTAGGCTCAACGTCCTGCATTCAACCCATCCTTTTCAAATCCAAAACTGGAATCTAATTTCATTTCGGATGACACATGGAATAATTTCAAGTCGTCGTTTGATAAGAGCACGTAAATCAGTCCCTTTATTTTACGTCAAAGCATAACACTAACTTTATTTCCGCAACTGATATGCATGGTAAAGTTTTGCGTTTGTAGTACGTGTTTGAATTCTTGCTAAATTCGAAGCTTTACTTCAGGTTAATGCAACCAATGACTATTAAAGGGGACAAAGTCTTCAATTTTGACGCTGACTTTGGTGGTTTTACTTCATTTGAGTCAACTGATCAAACCTCTACTCCTAATCTTATTTTGCCGCCTGCCTTTGATCTCTCGAGTCTAAGTTCCTCTTCTGTGAGTTGCTCATTAGTTATCTTTTTCAACCCTTTGGCTCTTTGTGCGTATTCCTTTGCTTGATAACTGTTCTTTTTTAGTTTCAAAGTAGTGTCGTTACTCCTATTGACGTTCCTACTTCATCTCATTCTAATCAGACATCAGATCCGTCGGGACCGCTTGATGAGGTTCGTTGGCTAGGCTTTACGCTGTGTTTACCTCTGTGAAGTCTTGACCCACTTTCTCACATACTGCTGGACTTTTGCAGCCTTTGACAAGGCTGTCTTTTTGTCATGTGCGCACCAATTTTTTGTTTACCTCATTTTTTCCCTAAAAAGTTTTCAGATTTCGTGGGCTCTAGACTCCCATCCACGCCATCAGTTACAAAAAAATCTCCACTTTCTCCACACGTATGCGAATTAATTTGAACCAACACCGATTTCGATCTCAGGGGTCTTCTTTACTTGATATTTGCCTGTTTTTAGGTAATTAAAACCGCAAAATATGTTGACCCCTCTCCTGCTCCAGCGCTACCTAAAGAGGTATTTCTGCTCATTTTTAAACTAATCTCCAGTATTAACTAACTTTATTAAATAATTGACTATTGGTAGGGGAAAGTCTGGAATTCGTCTCCATGGTTAGAATGTAGATTTTTGGATTGTGACTCGGGAAGACCTAAGTGCCGAATGCTTGTCAATAACTTATGAATAGTCTATGTTGAATCGGGCTCAAATATGGAGAATATTGTGATGACTGAGAAAAATTTTCTGAAATAAACTGTTGATTGCATCTGATTTGGTGGTGATAAGGTTTTTATTCTTCATCCGTGCTTGATCGGGTTTGGCACTTCGTTATCTGTCTCAATATCCTCCTTTTTTCAGCAATTGGTGTCTGAGTCCGCGCTGAACGAAACAGATCCCGAAGATGGATTTGAAGAGTAAGTGATACAGTTGAGTAAAAAAGCCCATTTTTAGTTTTCAAGCCTGTGCTTACGAGTCGCCCTCTACGGTCGAACAAATTGTGCGTTGATTATCTCGTACCATTTAAGTGACCTTTTCCATTTGACGTCTTAAAATTCAATCCTTCATAGCAGAGGCAACTACCCACAGAGGAGTGGTTGAAATGCCTGTCAGAGTGCCGCAGTATGCTCTCCGAATCGGCCTCCATTTTGTCATCCCTTGTCACGGACTCCGATGTGGACGCCTTTGTAGCAACTCCTCGTGGCAATGAATTCATCCTTGGTTAGTTTTCTCAAAACCGTCCACTTAATGCTTTTCAGTAGGGCGCATTATATTTTTGACTTTAATGGCCTAGAACTGATTGAAATCTACGGGATTATCCAGCGCATTCGATTGGCGGCCTCTCTTAATGGTAACTCTGGAGTTTTATTGCGTATATGTCATTTCGCTATGCTTTTCTCCTCATTTTTTGCATTTTTTGTAGACCTATTGGATTCCCAGCTACAGGCAGTATTTAACCAAATTGATCGTGTTTGGGGCGATTTGGCAAGATTTGTGAAAAATCAAGACCACAAGGTGCGTTTTACCTCGTCATTATAAAATATGGCGTGAGTGCTCCTCTCGAGACATTATTTGATGCAATCTTTCGCCTTTTTTCCCTAATCGTACCTATTTCAGGACACTTCCCTTTTTTCCCCAAAAAACAAAAGAAGATAAGAAATCCCCTTTTTTCTTCTTCACACTTGATAGGTATATACACCCTTGTGGGAGAAAAACCCCCTTGTTACTTAATGTTTCAAGGCGGTATCACCGCCTAAAACTCAGGTCTTTATGCCGGATGAAGTGGATGAATGCGGGACACAGACAGATATCAAAAAATGTCAATTTGGAAGGCGTATTCTTTTTTGTAATGCATTACATTGTTTTCAATAGTCACCACTGTTTTCGTTAAGCACATGTCAACACCCATTTCCATTAATGCACTTCAGGCCACTGATTCCTTACGCCCTTGGTGTACTGCTTAGCAATCTATTTATTTGAAGAGGCACATTTAATATTTGTAGGGAAACACCCAAAAAGGGGGTAATACTTCAATTTTACTCTTTTTTCGTCCCGCTAAACCGAATTAGTGCTGAAAAACATTTGAGACAGGAGATCGCACAGCCTTAAAGATTTCCTTTTTGCCAATACGAACTGCATAATACTAAGTCTTGTCATTTTGTGATCTTCGTTTGCGTCTGGTGATTGTTTACGCTTCAACTTACTGCCGTGGTGTACGATGGTCGACGCAGATGGCCAATCATAGGAGGAGTCAAGCATGAATATCTCGTCTTCTATCTCTAGATATAGATCTGCCCATACTCTAATTGACAAACTTAATCACCGAATTAATCTGTAGATAATCGTCTCCTTCTTTTTCCTCTTAGTTGACACTGAAGCGCCGCCTTGTCCAATCCGTTGAAGCTGCAACCACGGTGGATCCCCTCTCAGTCGAGCCTAACTGTGGGGTCTGTGTGACGCCTGTCCCTGCCTCCTCCACCTCCTCCTCGCCCACGGTAGAGGCTGAACCGGGAACCGCTGTCATCTCCCTTGCCGGTCGGGTTTATCACGCCTCCTGTGCCAACCTTTGGGTCAATCGGATTGAACTCTCTCTTCCTTCTCTTCGAGTTCGCTGACTTTTTTTCCTCTGTTTTTGAGAAATAAATTTCTGCCCTTAAAACAGCCTGTTTTGTTCTTTATGTGTGTGTATGATCTCCATACGTTCGATTTCCACACTTTGTCATTCAATTCATTTGGCTGGCCATATCTTTACCTTCTTTATTCTAAGTCCTTCTAAAGTGTCAACCCTAGAGGTTAGCACCACTAAACATTGTCCAGTATGCGCTACATTTTTCAAGAAGGATTTGTTTCCACTAGTATCGTGCCAATGCTCAAGTTGGTCTTGTTGAGTCACGTACAGGGGTGTATGTTCCGATCTCACATAACCGATGTGCTCATTTTAATTCTTTTTCCTTGCATTTTCCCATTTTTTAGGCGAAATGTTAAAAACCGAGGCGAAGGAGGAGGGGGAGCAGCGGGGCGCGAAGTCCCCTTCTCCATCGACAGTTAATCCTCGGAGTGTAGAAATGTTGGATGGTTTTGTGAAACGATTGACCTCAGCCAATGAGATGTTAGCTCTGTCAGTTGCGCAGTTATCAGTCCTGGTTGACTTTGAGTTGCAAGAATTGAGGCAAATCTACGCAGAATTAGGAATGCCTCAAATGCCTGATAACACGTCAGCAGATGAATGGCTACTAGCCATCCATAATGGTGCATTTCCATCTGACCTTCGTGAGGATACTGGCGACACTAGCAATGCTATCCAAGGTGACAAACGTGTCGATGAAGTGGAAGTGAAGGTGGAAGAGGGAATGCAGGTCAAACGTGCACCTGAGGTGAGATGAGGACATTGCTGCCGACTTGATTTGGGGTCATGTCAGCAGACGTTCTAAACTCGCAATTCCACTGTTTTCTACTTTTACTAGTCCATCCCACCCACCGCTCCATCATTGCCTCCTTCTTCGCCACCACAAGAAGCGGTTAATGCTTTTGCTTTCTTTGTGCAACACGTCGGGGCGACACTGCGACGCGAGCACAAGTCCGCTCTTCGTGGTGACGTGTCCGAGGCCTGGTTAGAGTCAAAACTTGCCACCAAGTGGACCTCCCTCAGTGCTGACGAGAAACTCGCTTGGCAACGTGCTGCAGAAAGCGCTTCTCGAGCGTCCTAAACTACCTCCTGGTCATTGTTTATTTTATTTTTTTTGTAAAAAATGTATTAACCTTTCACCGGATCTCCTCCTTCTCCGCTTCGTGTTGCTTTCACTGATTCTTGCACGTTACTTAATCACCAAAGGCACCAACACCGAGGTTGTTCAAGGTTGCGGTTTTCTTTGTTTGTTGTTGCGTTGGTGCGCTTTTGAGTTGTTCTTAAACCGCCTTGTCATGACACGTCAGAGCAGGCGTGGCATGCCCTGTATTGATCGCCGGATTATTTCGCTTTCATTGAAAATGGCGATATTCACCTCAAATACTGTTTGACAGGTTTGACATATATCATATTCGCAGTTTGGTCAGCTATTCACCTGACGGGTCGCACTAGTTGAATCCTTCCGCTAGTCTGCTCCACAGACGAATGGCGGATTTGGTGGGTAACTTGGAGTAGGAATTGGAAGATAATGGAGGCTGTCACTGAAGCGATTTTTTGTCGAGCGATATGGTTTTTAAAGACGGTCGAGTTATGCGCCTTGTGGAATGGGCGGGTAAAAAATGCACTTCATTCCTTCTTCTCCTTCTTGAAAGAATGGAAGAAAGCCACCTGAAGTCCATTGGTCTAAGTATTGACGCCTTAGAGAAGGATTTGAAGCGTTCTGTGCGTGAGGAGCAGCGTCATTGGCATGAAAATGACGCCAAGTTGAGAGCGGTTCAACAGAAGGTGGCCACGTATGAGGAATTTCGGTAAGTCCTCAAATTGTCCCCACTCCTATGAATACTTCGTCTTTCCTAATTCAAAGGAGCATGGTTGAGGGTTGCGAGCTTCGACCGCTGCAATTAAAGGAGGTGAAGGAGGCCACCAAACGCTATGCTGGATGGAGTCCTCTTCTCGCGCCAGTCCCCAGTTCTGTCAAAATACCTCAGCCCGGCGATCTGGCATCTTTGGGGGACTTTCAGATTGTACGTAAGTTATCTCCCTGTTTGCTCAACAAATTACCGGAGTCGGGGGGTTAACGGCCTTGAACCCACCTCAACGTGATATTCCCCAAGCTTCTTCCAAATGTCACCCCCATTTTCATCCCCACATTATGTAATAGAAGCCACAATCAAAATCACTAATTCATTAATTATTTTTCCTTTTATTTTGGAGATTATTCAAAAGGCATGAGAATTGGAAATGCTGACTCCATCATTTCTTGGGGCGAGGGCATTTGCACCGTTCACTCACCGGCACATCTTTCAATGCCGCTTCAATGTGTTTTCCACAGCCTATTTTTTACAAGGGACAAATAAAAGTAGGGTGAAAATCCGGAAACAAATAAATGATTAAAAAATTATTATTTCCCCCCTCCTAACCTTCCCAGTGACTCACCTTGCCATGTTGGTTTACCACAAGTTTCACATACGGTTTTGTAGCACATTTTATTTTTACTCCAAGTAAGTGCCAAGGTGCTTTGCGTAGCCCTGGTGATCCGTAGTAGATATACCTTCATCCAGGCAACCTGATTGGTCCATGCCCCTATTCATCCATTGGTTGGTGTGGCTATTCTCAAGGTCGTTTGATTTCTTTTATGTTTGTGTGGCCTAGGTGCGATTCAACAAAATTGACGATTTCATTCGGTGCTGGGGTGACCTTGAAGGCCACCAATCCGAGCGCGCTTTGGCGGATCTATTGATGGAGCAATCGAGGGAACTGCTTCAAGAGGTCTTTGCTTCCAGTGCTGGACTCCCTATTCTTCCTCGAGTTTTGAAGTGTCTTCTAACCGCGTCATCAGAGGACCCACAGCGTGTAATTAACACTTTACAGGCAATTAGTTCAAGTGAGAACTTTGAATTGGTTGCATTGTTTTTGTCGGATGAGGAGAAGACTCTTATTAATCGGATTTTCGAAGTCTTGGAAAACAGTACTGTAACCCCAATCAACAGTTGCCTGAGAAAACAATGGAATCCTGCGTAGCTATGTTATCCTTTGTTCGTAGTTTTACCCCAATTTCGTAAATGATGACTTCTTAAAGAAAGTGTTTATAAATTGTTATTTAAATTGTTTTAAGTAGCAAGTTTGTTCCCCACTCCCCGATCGCCTTTTTCTTTTGAACTGGAGGATCCTTAGCTGGATTGGATCCAGAAGTACTAGCTAGTCATTAAACATGTAATTATTTAGCTAACCTCCATCCATGTGATTAAACTGGATTGCTGTGACTTGATTTGGGTCCAACAGAACCGACTGCGGAGAGTGCTTTGTCGAAAGTTCAACACAGTTGTATGTACGGTTTTCAAAAGAACCGCCACAAACGTTCATCTTTCGAAGATTAGGACGTGTTTATTAAGACCCAGTGTTTAAACTTACTTTCGAAAAGAGTCTATAAAAATCAAAGAACTGAGCAATGGAAGACCTTCAAAGAAGAGGGTGATGATGATGAATAAACCCAGTCAACCAATGTGATTGAAATCAGGGCGTTGCCTCGATGACAATTTCCCTCGTGCCTATGTTTAGTCAATGCCAACCCTTATCAACTTAGAAAATATACGAGAAACATCTTTTTTCTGAATCGTGTCGTGTTCGAGGAGGTACAATGCCTTTCTCGCACCAAGGGAAGCCTTGAATTAATTAAGTGCATTTCCATTAAAATGCCAACCACCAGTCTTGCCATTCACCCTCGATATGACCCACCTACCCGATTAAATGCGTCTAAATCGTCTACAGTGGAATGCCGATTTCTAGAGAATTGTATTGAAAATTTAGAACTTTTTGTCTGGCAGAATGGAGACGTATTCCAGAGAAGGAATAGGGGGTCTCAATGAAACTGTACAAGTACCCTGTCAAGTCGCTCCACGCCGTCTTGAAATTCGGAGATGCAGGACTGTAAGGGACACTGAAGATGCCATTCTGCAAGGAGGATTGGATTGTCATGCCGTAGACGACGTCGAAGTGAATATTCATATCCAGAATGACTTGTCCCATCTTGCGGTGTCGTGTATCAAGAAACCGTCTTCGGAGAACTGTACGCTGTACGCGAACAGGTCTGGTCGTCCTACACCTCCCGAAACCACAAAGTGGCTGTCAAATGTGGTGTATTATTGACGAGTGGACAAGAGCATCTGTGGACCGGTTCTCCGTGATGGAATGGAATCAGACTTAATTTCTTTCACCTTTGATTAAAGACTTGTTCAACCTCCTAATGGAAGCTTCAGTGTGGTCTTTAAAGAGTCCGTTGAAATGGGAGAACATTTGCCCTTAACCAATTCACATCTCCTCCAAGGTTAAAATTCAGGGGAGTTTAACCCCAGAGGAAGAGGAATTGATGGATGGGAATCTTAGCTGGAAATAATCCCTTCCACTTTTTTAAAAGACGAAAAGTTCTGCTCCCAATTATTAAAAGATAACATGTGCAATTGAGGAACATAAACAGGGCAAAAAAGGGGGTTGCTGAAATAAAGATTTTTTCTTTAAAGGTAGTGAATTTTCACTTTGATCACACCCCCATTGGAGACGCCACATTCAGTCAAGGTCCGTCGAGATTCCAAACGAACATTTTTGTAGTAAAGATCAATCTTTCCCCCTTTTACCGAGGGATGATTTTGCATTTTCTGTTGAACATCTTTCACAGTCCAATCATCTGGAATTAACATGGAGAAACGTTCTTTACCCACCTCGAAGTAGATTACCATCCCATTTCGGTTCATAGGACCCTTTTTTGTGGTTGGATAGATCGTTCGGACTTGGTTATCACTCAGGTAGACACTGTCTCCTTCTACGATATTCAAGCTATCAAGCGTCTTTTCTTTGTCCACATATCTACCCGATATGATGAAAGTCTGATTTTCTTCAGGAATGCCTGTCTTTTCCTCCACACTCTTGGAGATGGTCTTAAGCGGTTTGGATGGATCTAAGATGAGAGTGAAGGGATCTCCGTCCTCCTTCAAGAAATGGACGCTGATCATGCGTCGACAGGGTGCTGGCAATCTCTCCGTTGCAAAGTCATCGCAGTAGTCGTATGGTTCATTGGAGGGCTGTTTCTCGGGCTCCAGTACACGTGCTACCGTAATACAGGCGTTGTCTCCGATCTCGTACTCATTTAACCGTCGCAAATCTTCCAAGATCCAATGCGAGTAGACAAGAAATGCATTTGTGACGTTGCGGTTTTGACGACCCACTCGTGTGGCAATCTCAGCACGCAGTTCCGCCACTGTTGCATTGGAACGGATTGGAATGGAGTAGACCTCCTCCGGAGAAATAGCCACTCGTACGGGGATAATTTTTTGAAGCTTCAAAGGTAGATGTAGCTCCAATGCACCCGATTTCGCAATCTCATAGTCGTTGAGGCTTCTTGAGTCCTCGAGGTATACACCTTTGAACGTGAGTGTTTGATCATTCGGTGGGATTCGAAGCGCCTTGGCAATGGCAGCCTTCACTTGCAGCACGGAAGTATCAACTTCGGCTGATAGAGTGAGCAATTCGCTACCGCGGTGGATTATTCGGAGTTGCATAATGCCGTCGTAGGCACACCGCTTGAGTGTATTTATGCTCACACACATCGGTGGGTGCCTACTCTCGCGATGGCATTCCTTCCTTCGAATCAATTGGCGGCGTCCTTCTATTGGCTGCCTGAGCAGCACATTGTGGGTGTAATGTCAAACGCCTTTGGGGTGCTACGGTGCCGAGATGTTGTGGAGAAGGATTAAGGGGACGAGGAGGCGTACAATTGTCCCCGACATCTGATACTACCTTTGGCTGTTTTAATATCTAATCCAAGAAAAATTGGCACTTATTCGAGACCTCTCGCTTGTTTTTGTGTAGACAATTATCCCTCGGTAGCCAATTAGACCGTATCAAGTGGTGAAGTGGTGTGCAACAACGGCATGCCGCTTGTGGCATGCAATTCAGGGCGTGGCTACTTGATTGACGAGAGAAATTACGATGATCTATGGATTTATTACCCAGTAAACAGGCGTATCTCTCAAACTGCTTCATCAGGCGTGAAATATCTGGCGGTTCTGTGATGGCAAAACTGCCCCGCGCAACCGCCTGCTGCTCTACTTTAGGCGTCCAGATGAAAGCCCCAAACCACCCTCATCGTCATCATTATTATTAGGTCAGCTGAATGCAGCTACTTGCCAGTAAAAAGGCAGAAGGAGATGGATTTACAAACCATGCGAAAACCGCGACAAAAAGAGCTATAACCTCAACATTCTGTAAATGCACATCTCTTAGAGACTGTGTCTGGTACTCACCCCAAAAAAGGTTTATACCTAGGAAAATGGATTACCTTTAGGAAAACCATGCCCCACAGCATATTACTTACTGTTAGTAGGAGGCACATTTACAGTAGGAAAGGTAAACTGGGGAGAATAATTGAGGGAAGTTTTTCGGTGAGATGAGGATAAGTTCGCGGGTACTCTTGTGGGCAACTTTGAGACGGGTTTGCAGCTGCGGTGTTATTCTGAAAAAAAGTAGAGAGCGGATGTAGCAGCCGCAACGGCTTTGAGTAAGCCAGTACTGATGGCTACTTTGTGTCTCTTAGTGTACAAGAGGGAGATAAAGAAAGGATACGTGAGGAAATACACAAATTACAGGTGTTGTCATTAAAGCTAGCTCGTCTCAGATAGGTATACGCCTATCTGCACAGCCGAACTAAGACGGCTTTTACTGTTTAGTCAGAAGTGAGAACATGGCAAAAACTTTAAGATCTGCAGAAGCGCAATTAACGCCTTAATCTGCTGGAATTCGAAACGGGTAGCACAGGGTTGATTTTACTCACATCGGTAGGAAAAACGGCCTCAAAAATTAAAAAATATAAGAGACAATGAATCGAATAGAGCTCATTTAGTGCAAGAGTCCTAACTTTGCAAATTTAAGGATCAAAACGTAAATATTCGTGGTTAATGTATAATGTGCGGTTTTGGGAGGTATACTTTTGCAATAGTTTATTTAAATGCTACCTATGAAATCAGCTCTTAGTTTTGTGTCACTGGTATAAAGTGGGTGCCGGAGACTTTTTTTTCGCTTTTTGTCCTTTAAAATTTAGGTTGTCGAAAGCTCGTTGCTTTTTTCCGTAACAATTTCGGTTGTTTTTAACAATGGCCTAGGCACATAACAATTAGCATGTGGATCAACCACTCATGCCCTAGTGCCTGTTTCTAGTTTGTGTTGCATGTTCAGTACTGGTTCTCTATCTCGAGGTTATGGAGCGTACTGAGCTTTTGGAATCCCTTCTTGAAGTATCAACCAACGAATACTATGCTCATCAGTTAAAAGACGAACTTGGTCGATATTTTAATGTCATGACAGGTGTTGTCGTAGAGTCGGCAAACTTACTCTCTCCACAGAACTTGGGTACATGCTCTTCCAGCTAATATTTCTTTTAGCTTCGGACAGAATGTTTCAACTATCCGTTAAATGTCTTATTAACTTCTGCGCAAATAAGGACCTGGCAAGACTTTTATTTGATTGCAGTAAACAGGAACGAAGGGAGAAGTTGCTAGCAAGCCTCACATCATTCTACTTTTCTGGTGCTGGTGAAGAAGCCAGACTACTGACATTCTCACTGCTTGTCAATTTAACCACCTTGGTTGAATGGGCGGGCATCTTCTGTGATGCCTCCTACACGGAAGTAATTTGCAGGAAAATAGCCACTAAACGAAGGCCTCCCTGTATCGAACTGAAGGTGTGATGCTGAAATGTACCATTTGATGGAGGGTGTTTAGCTCCTTCTCAATTTAACCTCTGTGCGAAGAATGCGCCAAAGCATGTGCAATGATCGCATCCACTTGTCTTCTCTTGTTTCGCTTCTGCCTAAACTGCAAGACACAGCATCCCGTCTTACAATTGCTGGGATTTTGAAGAATTGTTGCTTTGAAGAGGGTAGTCCAGTATCTCCTGTCTCTACCTTGCATCTTTAGAGTGTCATGGACGCCTGTGCTACCTCTCCGATGATATGTTGGTCACTGCCCTCCTTGTTTTATGCGATGTGAGTGATGCTATTGAAGATGAGGATCGATGCACACTCCCACCTCCCATTCGCGAGGCCTACGATTCAAAGACTGCAAAAAGAGAATCCGACGCCTTAGTTAAAACCACGATTTGTGAGGCCTTGTTGCAGGTGAGTATGATGATGCTTTTTGTATCCTATCTCTAACGTAGCTATGTTCAACTAAAACTGGACGCCAGTACCTTCGGAGTCTTGGGGTTTACTTCATTCTGCGCGAAATGCATCGTCACGAGTGTGCCGTCGAGCAAAATCTTGTTGGAATAGAAGGAGGAAATGAGTTACAGACTCAAAAGAATTTGGTTTTTGTCGTTGATCAGGTGGTTGATCAGCTCATTTGTGAAGAAAGTGAACGTCCGAAAGACTATTCCAGCCTTCGAGATGTGCCTATTGATAAGGAGACAGAGGAGAAGCTGAACAAAGCCAAGGTTGCGTATATTAACTCAACCTAATCCAGCTTTTATAATTTACCACTGCTGTTCTCATGTTTATGATATCTTCTGTTTCAGAGGGGTAAAGGTGTTACATTAGAACAAACTTGGGACGAGCCAGAACACAGACTTGGATTGCAAAACACTGTGAATAAGAAAGTGCGTTCATCAGGCTGTATGTGGTTCTCCAAGGTGAACAGACGTGTCTCCGTCTGTCTGCCACGTTTCACTGGTATTGGCTTAAGATAGTCAACACCGTCAGCGATGAAAGAGTTTATTGAAGAGCGCTTGATGTTCTGAAAGTGGTGTCATAATCTGTCTGTTGGGCTGTGCCAATACAGGCAGGCGATAATTTCTACAGTAAACCCTATGTGTAGAGTGACCACGAAGTATCCAGGGCCGTCTGTTGAAAGCTACCACAATGAGGTCTATTTGTCTCGCGGAACTGTTTGACAAGTAGGAGGACTGGCTGTCGTGCCCAACGTAGTCGTCCACTGGCATATCTACAGATTATGGAATATGACGGAGTTAAGATTCCGATGTCGCCCGAGATTGGTGCGGCATTCCTACTTCACCATTTTTACCACCGGTTTTTCAGTGGTGGCTCTTCTGTTATGATCATAGTGCACGCATCGCTCCCAGTCGCAGTTCTGTGGGCTTGAAACTTGAGCTCCTTGTGGTGGGCCCGTCTTGTCGCGCCTGCTGTTTGGAGGCAAGCGTGTAACCATCGGAGGGATGCCGATAGACATCTCTGATCGTATAGTCGTGCTTCCTGTAGTCTACGGTACGGTGACAGTCCGTCTGGAGGGTCGTTGACGAGACATCAGTGAAGAGACCTTCCTTCAAGGAGGCGACGAGTCTAACGGACGCAAAGGCTACGGTAAGCTGCAAACGTGGAATACTGACAGTCTTCAAGTGTGTTGCAGGCGGATTAGCCAGAAGTAGTTAGAAGCCACCTCTCCAGCTATCCTTGCCGAGGCGTGGATGAATTGCAGCACTGTGATTGACTTGTGATTTCTTTTCAAAGCAGATGGCGATGAAGAGAAGATCGTCTGACAATGTAGGGTAGGTAAGGTATCGGCTCCAACATCCTGTGGGGCACCGCCAGGCAAGTGGGCGTTCCGCTGATTTAATGCTATTAGAGGACTTAGTGATTTCGCCATGGACCCAGATTTGCGATGGAATGGTATTAGGTGGCGCCCAAGTTCTTACCACTTCACACGACGATTAATTCTCGCCATTTCCTTGACCGCTTCCTCAGTCCATGATGGTGGGGATGGCAAAGACGATCTCTTCAATGAGTTCTCGTCTGTTGGATAATCTGTAAAAAGTGAAATTTACTACTGGTGTGTATACTACTTATTTATTCTCGTTAACAAGATGGGTATCGGCGTGTCAACAAAAAGCATCCGGATTGTCAAGTCCTGCGGTTACTATGCTTCTTTCCTATCAATAGACATCTCACGAAACTGAATTTGTCTGCGCTGTGGTAAGTCGTCAAGATGATACCTAATGGCTGATGTCGGGGACAGTTAAAGGTCATAATTAGGGTTAGTTTGACCCAGGGGTCAAGGTGCTGACGTATTACCAACCAGGTGCGGGGGTGAACGCTTATGGTGCGCAGTACTAACCGATTCCTCACCTGTTTTATAGGCAAAATGTGATGTTTAAGCAATTAAAAACTTTATTACTAAAAAAGTAGGCTTTTCAAAGTTTTTAAAAGCCTACTGATCCACCTGAACTGTGGGTTGAAATGCTTCTTGATAAGGGTTGGCAGTTGCGTGTGGAAGCAGACCTCCAGTGATGTCTCCTCTGTCGGGTTCCCGCAGAACTGGCAATTTCAGCATTGCTGACACCAGAAGTGAATCGTCGGGCGAAGCAGTGGCCAAACACGACTCCACCCTTTTAACTCGCGTGGTGAGTAGTGCATGACATCCTTGTCTCTATCCACATTTGCGTAGAAATTTGGGGACTAAATGTTTGGAATATCCCTGATGTAGGTAAAAGATACATTGATGCACAGAGTCTTAATGACAGAAAACATGTGGCCATAGATACCGAACCATTGCATTGTTTAATCTGACACTCATGAACCTAGTACTGGCATGTGCTTATCTTAATTTCCGTCATGTCAATGTTATCAGTACTCTTTGTCCTCTTCGTCGTACTTATCATTAGCCTCGAATCCATCTTCAACTTTGCCCCCATCATCATTACATCCATTGCCCACTCCCTCTTCATTATGCCCATATCCATTTTTATCCTTTTTTCTATCCCACTTCATTCTTCTCCCTTTCTCCTAGTCCTATTGCATGTTCCAGGGTTCCTTCCTCTTCCATGGGCTTCATCCTCTTTTGCCTCTCTTCCCCTCTCATTTTTACAGTCATCTCAAAGTGTTTGCTTACCTTCATGGAAGCTCCCATAGGCGAAAGTTGAGTATCTCTTTGTCACATGTCATTGTCAAGTAAAATGCTCCCAGAGGCATGTGAAGGGCCATCTGCCTCTTCACGGAGTCTAGAAGGTGTGGCGTTAGCAAATGCAGTAAATACACCGGCAAGGAGGATGGAGCGGACGCGTAGACTCTTGTGGAAGGGAGGACCTCGACCACTAGTAAGAGAGGATTTCTGTGAATAATGACAGACTGGAGGAATACAGTTGGCGAATGTTTTAAACACATTGCAATAGCTAGCTAAAAGAATTATTTCTTGAAGGAGCAATAGCCCGAGGCCTGCTAGAGCATTAGACTTGCCGATTCCACGACAACAGGTGTCATAGCATAAACATACCTGCTTTGTTTTTTTGACTGAATGAAGTAGCAATCGTGGATTGATGCTTTAACGAGGGGATTTTCTCATCCCACTACGATTTATGACCTCGTGGTGGAGCTGGTGCAGTCACTGCGTAGGTCAAGTAATACGGACTAGGGCTAATGTTGAGATACTGCCAAGGAAAATTCTCCCACCCCTGAGAACAATGTAAAATCTTAAATAAGCATAACTGCCTCCGGAAACTCTTTCACAAACCCAATTTATACCAATGGCAGACTTTTCTTTAAATGTGGGCGGTTTTGTGGGTAGCATTTGAGGTAACCTGCTCTTACCACCATATGGAGGTCAATTACACAATGACAACCACTAATTGCATGCTGAAAAAGTGCAGAAAAATCTTTTTTATTTGATTGAATGGTGTCTTATTAAATGTGTCCTAGCAACATTTAAGATGTCGTCTTTCCTACTGGCGTAGAGGTAGCAAACATTTTACTACGCGTCCCGACTTCTGGAACATTGGAGCGTTGATAGTGTTTTGCTGCTTTCACTATCATTTGTTCGAAGTCCTTACTTCCCCACTGGATATTGCTTTACCTAACCAGAGGTATTTTGCTTCGAATGTCAGCTTACTCTTCTTAGTCGGCCGCGCGGATGGTGATGGGGTCATCCGAGAGGAACTAAATTTAGGTGGACCCAGCTTTCATCCACGTATTTGCTTGCCTCTCCTTGCCTGATCTCCCTTCATTACATCCTGAGCTGCCAACTTTGTCCTCCTCATTGATAAGGCATAGCATAGCCATCAGTACCGGTTGGTATGAACTCATTGCAGCTGCTTAAGTCACCGTCAAGCCATTTTGAGCAAACGAATTTCGCGAAACTGTCAACGAGGAGCTCGCACATACGGAGGATCCAGTCCACATCTTTGACGGGAGTCAGAGGCGATGCTCACACATGTGCAGATTTGTGTAACACAGCAACACCTTGTCATCCAAATCCTTCATTGAATTGGGGTTTGAGGGTCACCTTACTGCGCTTTTGCTGGCCACTTTCTACTGCGCTCTGACAATCATCAGAGGCTGATTGAACAAGCACTCAGTTGGAATTAGTCATTGACTTCTCCGTAGACGTTTAATAAAGCGACTGTTCTCTAGAATTTACCCTCTTGTGGTCAAATAACAGTATCAGTGATTATTCCACATTGATCATTTGAAATGATGGTGGGCTTGCTACTTACAAAGAAACAAGTAATATGGGGCGTGGCAACACGTCTTTAAGTAATTGCTTTTATAGATATACACCTCTATTTTTCCCTTTTTGGAGGGCTATGAGACACATCTCCTTAAGAGATGAGCATTTACGAGGTGTTGAGGCTTCCCCACTCTTCGCCGTGATTTTCGCATGATTTGTAAATCGACCTCCTCCTACTGCCTTCTAATAGAATGTAGCCGCATTCAACGGATCCGGTGTTCCAGTCTTTGAAGCAAACCATTGCACCCTTGTAACGATATGTTAGTTGATATAACTATCAGTTGTTCCTTATGCTTGCAAAACAAACAAGCTACAAATAACTTCATTTATTGTCTATTAGCCTTTGCCCTGTTAGCATTGGAGAAATACCGCGAATTGCACAACCCAGAGTCGTCTGTCGAATTTACTTGTAATCTGCGCTGAAGTGGGGATATTTGCTTTCTCTATGACTTCCCTTACTCTTCTCATTCTCTCTTTATGGTAAAAAAATTCCGAAGTAGAGCAGTAGGTGGTTGTGAGAGGTAGTGTTATCACAAGGGAACCACCATTTGCTTCAATTCTACTTGTAAGGGTTTCTGACAGTTACAGCTACAGAAACCATTGATACTTCTCCCACCGCTCAAATAGCCACGCCCTGAAACTCATGCCACTAGCAACGAGCCGTTGTCTCACATTAGTGCATTGCGTTCGGTAGTCTGATTAGCTGTCAAGAGACGATCATCTTGACGGAAAGTGCGGAAGGCATGATATAGGTGTCAACTTTCTTGTTAAATAAGTAGTTTACTCAGTAGTTGTATCTGGTGTCTAAAGCATTTGCACTCCTCCTCCTCC